TCTTAGTGTGTCTTCTCCAGGCAACGCCGAATTTATCGGAGCAAGACCTCTCGTCTCCAATGGGGGTGCTGTTCCAACTGGTTTCACTGTTTGGTTGACTGATTTACGAGGCAACCCATGCCGTCGTACGAAGCTATCACTGACGAAGTTCAACTGTGATCCATTGTCTATCAAGGCACGGCAAATGATTTCTGTGATGGTTGAACAGCGGTATCCTGCAAGTTCCAAGTAGGGCCGTTCTGTCAGGTTCTGTAGCACTAATGGCAGTACACAGGTTGTTTCCTCTGGTATTACAATCGTTTACAGTATTTCTCTCAGTTGTATTTTGTTGTTCCCTGTGCTGATTGTCCACGTGAAGAAGAAAATGGTGTCTTTTTCCACACTGTTTACAATTGTGCGTGCTTGGGCATTTCTTTACCAAATGCCCTGGGCGCAAACAATTAAAGCATAGTCGTTTGGAAGTCACTTCGTCTTTCCGTGTATGTACTTTCAACTTCTCGAACTCGTTACATGCAGTTACAGTATGAAGTGTTCCACAAAACACACATTGCTCGTCCACAGTTGTTGCTCCATACGATTGCCTTCGGTCGATTGTACTTTGGACATCAAAATGTGCTTCAATTCGAGTCGTTGGTTTCTGTAAAGTGATTGATGACTTCACTGCTTCTAGTGCCCTCGCTCAAGCACCATTGAAATCGTCAAGATCGTGTAGTTTCTGGAGCTCTCTTCCTGGTTTGTGAAGCATCCAGTTTGTGCTCAATCACATGAACCAGTATTGGATCCCAGTCTTGAGTATTACAGTCTTGCACTTCTAATGCAGTCACGTTTTCGCGCAAACACTCCAAAAGCTTCCTGAGGCTTGTTCCATCTTCGGTTTTCAAAATCGGGTAGTTCAACACAGCACTGAGATGCATGCTTACAATGAACCTCTTGTTGTTGAATCCGTCCATTAGAGTCCTCCTTGCGAGCTCGTAGTTCACGTCTGTTGTTGCTACATTCTTGATCAGATCGTGTGCTTCTCCTCGAAGTGAAGACTTGAGGTAGTTCAACTTCTCAGCATTTTGGAGGTTTGGGTTTCCATGTACAGCAGAATCGAACTGATCGATGAAGCTCGTCCACTCTGTATACTTCCCACTGAAGGAGGAAAGATCTATCTTTGGCAATTTGATCGGACTTGATCTTGGTGAGAACATTGTATGAAGCCCGTTCGCTTCTCCTGTCGATCCTCTGGAAGACGCTTGCTGATCTTCCAAGAAATCATTCGTCTGCTGAATGAATTCTCGTACCTCTGCTCTGAACTCACAAGCCGTTTCAAGCTCGGCTTGCAGACGTTCGTCTGGTACAACGTTCTCTATCAATCGATCCTTTTCACTGATCGATGTGAGGGTCTCTCTTATGACAGCAAGAGAAATTCGCAAGCCAGCAAGATCAGTCACTGGATTGGACGATCGGATTGAGTTTATTCGATGCCTATGCTTAGAAATGCATGTCTTGTGACCACTTCTGGAGTGAACCCTTCAGGTATGTTCGTCCTGACTGATCGTTTTGTCCATGTTGCGCGCTCACAACAGCTGGTTGATCGCTCTGCTCGTTCGCATTGCTCTGACCTGGTTGCTCGTTCGCAACTGATCGTACATCGCCTTGCTCGTTCGCGAAGCTTCGTAGATCGTACTGGTCGTTGGTATCACTCATAGTTCGTGGTTCGTAGTTAGTGGTTAATGGTTAGTAGTTCTTGGTTCGTTGTGTCTGGGTCGACGCGGACCAATGGTTTCTCGCCGAAGCCTAAAACTTTTCAATAGCGGACCAACTCAGCTTGACGTAGCTGAGATTTTGCTTTAACTTTGATTCAACGAAGATATGACTGTATATCAGAGGGAGGGGAACAGCTTATACCTGCTTCATTGTGTATACCAAGACAATGAAGTTGAACATCTTTTATTTAAGAAGAAAAGTCTTGCAAAAGTCAATTTAACTTCAATGGGTTTTTGGCATGTGCCTGCAGCGATTATTCAATGCTAGCATTACAATACAAGAACTCTAAAACGTTGTATCGCAATATTCGCAATTTTTTTCCTCGTTGAGTTTGTGCAATGAGCCTTGATCCGGTCTCTATCTGTCTAAACCAGAGTCACAAGGCTCACCCAACTGCTGCCTCTTAATGTGGATCAATTTTACAAGCTGTTTTGAAAGTTTGGATAATTCGATATAAAATTACATTACATAAAGACGGGATTAATCCCGCGTAGATTAAATCAAACATTTGAAACAATCTTTGTTGGTTTAAATCAGTTTTTTGGCGGTTAATAATTTCCATTTCGTTTTTCTCTCGATTAGGTTGCTTGTTGCAAGCAACAAATTCCATTTGTGCTTATCACAAAATCTTTGAAATTTTAAAACTATGGAAAAATTCTAATTTTGAGGCGTCGCTCTCAAGTCTCCGACTGCCCTTCAAAGTGTTTCGAGTAGTGTTTTATGAGTAATGTTTTTTATATGTATTGTTTGTAAGAGCTTTTTTAAAAATATGTTGAAAAATCCAAAAAAAAATTGGATATTTTCAATTTTTTTTTAAAACAACCCCGCACACTCTATTCGAAGTGCAAAGTGATATACTTATATAGACTAGCATTTTAACTAGAACAACTATTCTATCATTTAATTTTTTTTCTGCCGGATTAAATAGAGAAAAACACAAAAAGTGTATCACGCGTTAATATCTCAAGTATGGGAAATTTTCGATGTTCAAGCCCTCATAATACCGAAAAAAAATTAAAAATCAAGAATAAGTTTTCAGGTAAATTTAGAAAATTGATCAAACTCACCGGTGAAAAATTCAAAATTGGTTGCGAGAAAAATTCCAAGCACACTTATTCCGTTAATTTTTTTTCAACAATTGGAAAACTAACGCTCAAAGTGCGCATTTTTGCTCATTTTTATGGGTTTTTTATTTTGTTTCAGCGCTGAAAGTAAGCGATAATCTATCGATAAAATTTGCTATTGTGGCAATGGACGTCGATAAAATTTTCATGGCAATCGTTGTTTTTTTCCCACTTTATAGTTAATTTTCAATGTGAGCTCAACCCGGATAATAGTCCATTGTAGCACTACCTTTTGCAGGAGTAGAAAAGAAAATTTAGGAAATTCGGAACAATTACTGGACAAAGTTCTAAAAATTCATAGCTTTCTACAAAAATCAACTGCGCATTAGATACCCGGGTTGAAGTCCCACCATTAATCATTGCTTTTTCTGTAGTATCCCAGTGATCGCTATTTTCCAGCGCTGATACGTGTATAACTCAAAGTTTTTTGCATAGCTAAACATGCGATATTTCAGAGTTATTTCAAATTTGATTCCGTAGAAAATCTGCGCTAAAACTTATAAAATTTTAACTCATTCTAGAAGCTTCCAAATAAGAGTTTTAGTTAATCAGCCCTTTATTTTAGCGTAACTATGGCTTGATGGCGCAGAGATAGCATTCATATCTACAAAGCTAATGGTTGTGAGATCGAATCCGTTAGATAGCATGGAAAACCCAGGTTTTGGTCGCGAAAGTCTGCACATGGGTCTGGGACCTCGACCCGGGAAATAGGAACTTGTAACCCGAATTTCAATTTTGTTTTTCGTTTTTCTTCCTTCTGTCGAAAAAAGATGATTAGTAAAGAAAAAGGTATTCCAGCTGCACTTATTATTCATAGCTACGAAAAAGGATCAACTGTAAAACCTATTTTTGATGTCAGGGTATCAAAAAAATTTTTAGATGGCATTAAATGGGCCGTCAAAAATGATTGGTTAAAAGTTCGATTTTGTTTGGGTAGAAACACCACCATGAGCACGTATAATTTTCCGTTTTGCTATGTACTTTTTCTTCCACCACGGTCGCGAAGAATGGATTTTCGATGGCGCCGCCGCCGCCTTGGTCTCGAAAGTCACTCCGTCTCCACATCGGTTGCGAAAGTCTTGAAATTGCAATTTTTGGTCGCGCTGGCCAGGCCGGTCGCGATGTTGCTTTTGGAGTCGAGCCGTCTCCTGAGTCGTGCCGTATCCACCTTGGTCGCGTAAATCGCGCCGTCCCCACCTCGGTCGCCAAAGCCTTGAAATACTTTTTCTTAGTCGCACCGTCTCCATGTTGGTCTGAAAAGTCGTGCGGTCTCCATCTTGGTCTGGAAAGTCTGAAAATGTCTGAGTTTGGTCGCACCGGTCGCGCCGTTTCCTGAGCCACATGGTCGGGAAAGTCGCGCCTGAAATTCGAATCCTGTATCCGTCCGCCTTGGTCGGGAAAATCGCGCCTGAAATTTTTGGTCGCGAAACTCTGGAAATGGCAAATTATTGTCGCGATGGTTTTGTCGCGCCACCTCCGCTTCAGTCGCGAAAGTCGCAACGGATCATCATGGTCGCGAAAGCATGGAAAACCCAGGTTTTGGTCGCGAAAGTCTGCACATGGGTCTGGGACCTCGACCCGTGAAATAGGAACTTGTAACCCGTCTCCACCTCGGTCGCCAAAGCCTTGAAATACTTTTTCTTAGTCGCACCGTCTCCATGTTGGTTTGAAAAGTCGTGCGGTCTCCATCTTGGTCTGGAAAGTCTGAAAATGTCTGAGTTTGGTCGCACCGGTCGCACTGTTTCCTGAGCCACATGGTCGGGAAAGTCGCGCCTGAAATTCGAGTCCTGTATCCGTCCGTCTTGGTCGGGAAAGTCGCGCCTGAAATTTTTGGTCGCGAAACTCTGGAAATGGCAAATTATTGTCGCGATGGTTTTGTCGCGCCACCTCCGCTTCAGTCGCGAAAGTCGCAACGGATCATCATGGTCGCGAAAGCATGGAAAACCCAGGTTTTGGTCGCGAAAGTCTGCACATGGGTCTGGGACCTCGACCCGGGAAATAGGAACTTGTAACCCGAATTTCAATTTTGTTTTTCGTTTTTCTTCTTTCTGCCGAAAAAAGATGATTAGTAAAGAAAAACGTATTCCAGCTGCACTTATTATGGAACGTGCAGATGTAGCTTACGTGGGCTGAATGTAGTATTGATGGGCCTTGATCACATCCCAGTCGGATATCAGGAAGTCTGAGAAGTCGCCATCAGTTATTTCTACTGTCCTCACTACAACACAACTAACACGGAAGGTCATCCGTTGTACCTAGCGAGCGGAGCGGAAGTCAAGTGGCTAGCGATTGCGAGCAATGCAATTTAGTAGATTGCCATTGTCATATTGCAAGCCAGGTCGAGGTTTGCGAAGCCAAAAATATAGACGACCAGTTTTCGACCAAAAACATAGACGACCACGGCCTGATAGACGAAGAGATAGACGACCACGGAGTCGAAACATCAAAGTGAACTCAAAGTCAAAACAAAAGTTGAAACTTGGTCGAACTAAAATTCAAAACAAAACGTCGGATTCCTCGAAAAATCAAGGTCAAACATTAGGAGTGCACTGGATAGGAGTTCCTGGATTCCAGAGACAAATCTTTAAACATGTTCTTAAAAGTAAGTTGATTCCACATACGAAAGTTTCGTGGATTCCGCGTACAAATCCTGTAACGTAAATTTTGTCGGCACATTTGTTTTGTGGCGGATTCCGCAACAAGCAAATACAGCTAATTGTTCTGGCACAACAGCTCAATGTAACTAAACACATGTCTTTTTGTTTGTTTGTGGATTCCACAAATTGTTCTGGGTTCCGCCAATACAATTGCGGATTCCGCAATTTCTCCTATTTTTGAAGCGACTTTGAGCGGTAGAATGTTTTAAGTAATTGTTTGCGGAATCCAAAACAGCAAGATGATTAACAAAAAGTAGCAATATTGCGGATTTCGCGACAAATTTGATTTTGGCCTGTTGCGGAATCCATTTACACTCCAAAGAATGCACAGTTTGGCCTCGTAATGAAATGTCTAGCATAGCCAAAACATAGATTATTTAAGTCATCTTTGTTTTGACTATGATCAATGTTTTGTTCTCAATTTTTCGAGGAATCCGACATTATGTTTCAATTTTTAGTTCAACTATTGGGTCTTCTCGACCACAGTCGAATTCAGCTTTTTCTCAAGGGTAAGGGTGGATTTTCAAAAGTTGTCAAAAATTTTGTCGTTTTTTTTTTCTCGGTTGAACAAATTGGTTTTCCGAGCACTACCAGAGCACTAAAACTCCTCTGCTTTGGTCAAATTTTCTGCGCTGCAGGCAAAGTTTTGAAAAAACAGGCCACAAAGATCGCTCTTAGGCACACTTTGGAAACTTTGGACCAAAAAATTGCGTTTTTTTGGCGCGCTTTCCCATCTAAACTAGCTAATATTTTCGCCAATGGAGCCTTAGGAAAAATTTTACGTCCCGCCAAAAATAGACATTTTAAAATAGTACAAAGGGGGATCCTTTGGGTCGGCTGGGTGTCGAATCTCTGAGGCAAAATGCATCCAAGCCCCCCACCCCAAATTTGCTACTGGTTGAAACATAAATGACAAATCTCGGCCGCCCGTGTTACGTCTAGACGGTATAGAAAAATTACGAATCTGGGTTGAAACTATCAGAACATACTGAACTTTGGCCGAGTCTACCGAGAAATATGTATATCACTCTTGGTTTTTCGTTAACTGTGACGATATATTTTTGAAAGCTTGAAAAATTTCCAGTTGAACAAAAAATCAAGTATAGTTGTCAGTATACAGGCAAACCGTATGGCGTTCTTGTTTTCGCCACAAAACCAGTCACTACAAAAAAATCATCGGAAAGGATCGAATGATACAAAATATTAAAGCCCTTCCAGCCGTCATTGGAATAAAATTTTAAAATTTTGCCGCTTTTTCTGAATTGGATAATATGAAAATTTTGAGTCATTGTCTGCGTTCGATATATGAGAACTAGGCTAAGAAATATTATTTTACTAAGAGGAAAAATGGTTTTGAAAATTTCATTTAGCGCTTCCTTTGCAAAAAAACAGACAAACTTTTAAGAAAAATTTAAGTTGTCGATTATGTCTAATTCACTATTTTTTACGCATTTGAATAGTTTTCTTTTGACACCTAACGCTAAAGTCGACATTAAATTGAAGGAAGAAAAAATATAAATTATTGTTGTTTTTTATGAATGTGGCGGGAACATGCTCAACAACCGGCTATTCTTATTAGGTTGTGGTCTTAAGAGGCTCGTATCAATGGAGTTTGTACCGTAGAAAAAAGAATTGAACCACATAATTTCTTACCATTTCCACTGAAACAATCTGCAGCAGTAAGAACCCAAAGTCTACCCAGTACGGTGCCACCACACTCCACGTAGTCAAAGCCGTCTTCATAGCCTTCTTCAGAACCCTCTTCATTTGTGCTTTCACTCTCGAAAAATAACTCTACGTTTTCTTGAGCTTTTTTCACTCTTTTACTCACTGAAACTTGGACGAAAAACTTCCGGGGCGGGCTTTGATGCCCAATCATTTCAAGAGAACTGGCTTGAGTTGTTGTTGCGCTCGTGGCATGAGTAAGAAAAAAGTTGTTAGTCACAATTAAGATCATTGCGCAGTTGGCAATCGTACAAAGCAGCTTTACAGTTCCAAAGTTCATTTTGGTTTACTTTGACATTCAAGGATAGCAAATACGTTTAAGAACTCGTTATTCCACCTTCTTTGGTGTTTAAATCAAAAGTTCAAATGAAACAAGTGAGTTTGTTTTAAAAAATTTGTGCTCTAGCTAATCGTATATTCGTATGAATATTATTTTATAGTTTCTAGCTGTTCTAATTCGCCAAAATGTAACAGACTGTTTTTGAGCTAATTGAAGAGAAAGCGTTTGTTTTTTTTTGTGAAACCTACAACTCACAAAATTACCCGGTCACATAATACTGAAGATTGGTGTAATCTATGGAATTTGTTTCAAATATGTTTTAAACCAAAAAAAGTGATATTTATATAGTAAAAAGGTTTTTTTGGCTATCAACGATTTTGTTCGGCTACATTTTTGTCATCAATTAAATCAGTAGCTTTGAAGTACTTTTGGATTGAATAAAAAAATCATTTTTGGAGCCATCCATTCTGCTGAAATTTTAAGTTTTTGGTTACTATAAACTTTTAACTGATGCTAACCCATTTTGAAAAAAAACCATTTGAGAAATAAAATATCATTTAAATGTCGGGATAAATTACATCAGCACTGTATTATTGCAATCGAATAGTTGCATCTAGGCTGTGAATATTTACACTGAATAACTCTATGTTACAAAACTACACATCATACATTCCCACAAACCAAATTTAACGAAAAAAAGAGTAATAAGAAAAAAAATCCATCATTTTGCAAACTTAATGCATTAAAACAATAAATCTTTTGTTTTTAGAAATTTTTTTCTAAGCTTTTATTTCACAAGCTATGGTGTACTTTTATACAAAACGTTTTTTTATGGAAAAGGAACCATTCAGTTTTTTATATGTGGAAGCTGCATAACTAGCGTATGCACTAATTGGTTTAAAATAGCCAAAACGCTCATCTGCCTAAAAAATCAAAACTATAATACTTGATTTGCTATAATTAAAAATGAGGATGATAACTTTTCTTCAGGTTTCTCAAATATTTTTTCTTTTTTCATTTAATCTATTATGATAGATTATAATCCCTTTTTCTACCAAAATACTATTTTACAAAAAAAAAAAGATATAAGGAAATATGATGGATAATAATTTAGCTATTCTGAATGAAAACACAGTAAAAATCAGTATAAAGTAAGAAATCAGTAAGTGCGTTTTTTTTGGCGCGCACTCCCCCTCAAAATTAGTTTTTATTGGCGCCAAAGGCCAAAGACTCCGTCACCAAATATGGATATCTCAAACACAGTTCAAAGGGGGAAGCCTTTAGGTAGACAGGGGGTCGAGTCCGTGAAAAAATGACTTTTTATCCAGGAAAAAGGTTCAAGAAAAATAACTTACCTGGAAAAATTTTGTAATGATAGCCTTGTCAATTTTGAAATATCAGAGTATGCTTTTTGAACATTACAAATGAACCTTTGTTTAAGAGACAGTTTTCTAACATTTTCATAATTGTCTAGATACATCTAAAAAAAAAATTTTAAGAATGTTTGTTAATTGATTAGTTTATTTAGCCAAATGAACGATATTGGGAACAAAAAGTTTGAAATTGACTGAGATAAAATATCAAAACAACAGAATTTCATCTTTTAATTTAATTTTTTTTGCTCAAATGCAATTTGTAAAACTAAAAAAAAAAATGCATTTGAACGAAAAAAAATTGACGCAAAAGGATAATGTTTTGCATGCAGCAATATAAGATTGTTTAATTAGGGTTTAAATTTACTGCACCAGCCAGATTATGAACTAATTAAAGAACTGAATTTTTTTCGCAATTTTTGCTACGCGTTAATCAAAAACCGGTCGGGAGTTTTTTTTTTCAAGTTTTTAAAACCTCCCATAAACTCAATAAAACCTCCCATAAAAAGTCAGTTGATATAATGTTTGAATTGGAGCGCAGAATTAGAACATTTTACGAAGTTTTGAAAAAAAGCCGTTAAAAAATTTGAATAATAATCTTTCGCCTATCAGAGGGCTTCCAGTATCATATAACCTAATTCCAAAGTCTTTTTTGACCACATAATGACTCCAAGTTTTAGAAGCCCTATGTAAATGCTAATTTTTGTTGCATGTTTTCATATGATCCGCGCTTAAGCACGTACCCCCGCAGTTTCTAGGGATTTCAGTGTTCAAACGCCTCCAACGTCCAAACGCCATTCCTTCAGTAGTGATTGTGGAAATGAGACTTGAAAATTGAATCAAATAAATACGTCTGAAAATAAAACAAAATCGTGCTTTTGAAACGCGAGGAAAAATTCAAGTACAAAGTAACTAATTTAGGGTCGTAAGCCAAAAGGAACACTTAAAAGATATAGGTTTTCGTTTGAGTACATGATAATGAGAGTCAGCAAAAAATTAAGACCTGAATAACAAAATTGTAAATTTACTCAAAATTATATTTCAGAATTGTTGGTAAATTTTTTTGTGAATTCTTTTTCTTTTTAAAATTATTTTCAATTCTCAAACCTCCTAAGCGAAATATAAAATTTTAAAATATTTAATTTGATAAATTTTAAGCGCCTTTTTGAAAATAGAGCCTGCTATAGGTCTGCTCACTTTGCTCTTTGAAGGGTTTTCATATTGAATTAGAGTTACTTGCAGTTGTTTGGGCAGTTGACAGATACAAACATTATCTACTCGGGAAAGAGTTTACCATCGCAACGGATCATAAAGCCTTAACTTCAGCCTTGGATGGAAATAAATCAAACAAAACGTACCAATCACGGTTGACCCGATAGGTCGATAGGTTATTGCTATATCTATTTAAAATAGTTCACATTCCAGGGAAGGACATGGGGATTGTCGATCCTTGGCCCGAACCCGATTTAGACGAAAAATTTGTACTAGCAACAATTAACTCCTTTCACAAAGCTTTTGACTGCATGAATAGTAGGCTAGAAATTACTTGTTCCCTCAATCGGAAGGAAAATATTCTAGATTATTCTAGAAGGATTGTAGTGAATATTTCATCAACTCGTGGTTGCTATGGCAACCAAAACGGTCAAAACGAACAAAGCTCAACCGGAACGAAAAAAATCAACTTTCAAGAGCGTCCAATCAGTTAGAAAGCAGCTCTCAAAGAAAACGAATCGCTTTTTCTCCATTTCAACTATGCAAGCAGTCGAACTACAAAAATGCAAAACAGTGCAAAATCCAAAAACAAACATTTCAAAAACAGACTCACAGAAGGAGATGTCAGAACAAAAACTATAACAGACCTTAAGACTGGTGATCAGAATCACCCCAGAAATGGAGAAGCGAGGATAGAGAGGAGAGCATTTTAGATCCGCGTTGGAATAGATCCATGAACAATATAAACGAAATGTCAGAAGAAGAGGAGGTCACAGAAACACTACAACGAACAAGGAAAATCATCAGAGGGAGCCGACGAAACAGAGACATCTCAGATAGAGAAACAAGACACCATTTCCGAGTAAAGTGGCAGCTGTCGGTTGAACAGCAAAAAGAGGCGGACAGCAGGTTACTATCATTTCTTGCAATTGATTGGGGGACAATCAAGCGCACCACCAAGCAGCATTCGCAAACTAGAAGCGGCGACGGAAGAGAGCTCACGAATACCAAAAACTATATCACTAGCACAGCCGGAAGAACCGAAAACTAGTGGAGCTCAAGTGATTGAAGTGGACATTAAGACCACGGAGGAGTTGGAAGATGATCAAGACAACTGTACAATGGAACCGCCCAGCAGACAGACACTCAGATCACGAGAGGAGATGAAGCTGCAAAGGCAGCCCAGTGAGGATACATTGGATAATTTTTCTATACTTTTTGACAAGAGCCTCCTAGTGGATTTGACGTCAGAAGACACCTGGATGGATCGGCTCAGAAGAGTAATAGAACGAGGGAACAAACAAGGATTCGAGCTGATGGGGCATATATACTAATCCTCTGTGGTCGCAGATGGCGGTGCAAGACGACTTCAATCCGGTGGACAACAGATTGGCCGTACCAGTACAACTGCGACAGGCAGTTCTCAAAAGAATACATAGAGGACACCCGGGTAAAGAAGCCATGCTTGAGTCTCACGATATTTGTGGTGGCCACATATGCACAAGGACACAGTGAATCTCGCAGAAGAGTGCTGTAGTTGCACCAGATATGATGAGAATGCAAAATATCTCATTCCAAACAATTTGTCAAAACCGCTACCACTGCTGATGCAGTAGGGTCAAAAAATACAATTAGATTACGCTAGACCGCTATAAAACCATAATGGAACAAAAATCTACCTTCTCGTAGCTATAGATCTATTCTCAAAATTCCAATCAGTAAAGATGACTAAATCGACAAAAGGGAAGTGTAAAGTGAAGTTTTGCGCAGCTATATCGACACACATGGCATCCCAGAATCGATCTGATTGTCCAATTTTTGGTATTCAGAGGAAAAAAGCTTAAATTATTTTGTACTGAAAAAAAATAGAAAAAAAATTCTGTCCGGTTGGTCACCATCGGGGTTGTGGATTAGTAGAACGAACTATATAAACATAAAGCAAAGATTGGGGTAATGTTACCATAAGAGAACAAGCAATCGACCAGACTCAGCCTTTGTACAATAATTCGTGATTTGAGGTGGAATAAACAGAAAACATTTCAAGTTTTTTCATTTCAAGCTCCTTTCGGCAGATTCCCGAAAAATGAATTTAAGATTTTACGTGATACGTTTATAAATAAGGCTGACTGTTTAGACCAACAACACCTGGAACGATCGGCGTTGACAGCGTCGCGGCATAATTAAAGGATCGACTAATTCAGGGAGATATTGAAGCTCATAAGTTAGGGAGATCTTAACAGAGACAGCAGCCCGATGTACAAACAGCAACTGAGCAGAGAGCGGGATCGTCAGCGAGCAAAGGCACTCGAAGAGTTGATGGAGGAAAATGATCGGTGGAACGAGGAGCGCAGGGATGCAGCAAAGAGCGACATTCGCAGAATTGTGAACGCAGCTGGAAAATCCAACCCAGAACTCAGAAAGGAAAAGATTTATTTTTGGGAGAAAAGATTCATCGAGGATAAAGAAGACGAAACCACACTTTCTCCGAAGAAAACGATTTTGCGTAAAAACGATCTGAGGAAAAGCGGGCAAGGACTCACAAAGCAGTTAAAAGAAAAAATAAAAGCAGAAATGGGGTCAAAAAAGAGCGACATTTGCAAAAAAAAGGGATGCAGCGAAGAGCGACATTTCTCCCAAGAAAGGAAAAGATATATATACTTGGGGAAAAGGATTCATCGAGGATAACGTAAAGGTGACTAAATTGACAAATGGGAAGTGTACAGTGAAGTTTTGCGCAGCTACATCGACACACATGGCATCCCAGAATCGATCTGATTGTCCAATTTTTGGTATTCAGATGAAAAACGCTTAATATATTTTGTACTGAAAAAAATATAGAAAAAAAAAATCTGTCCGGTTGGTCACCATTGGGGTTGTGGATTAGTAGAACGAACTATATAAACATAAAGCAAAGATTGGGGTAATGTTACCATAAGAGAACAAGCAATCGACCAGACTCTGCCTTTGTACAGTAATTCAAGATTTAAGGTGTATTAAACAGAAAACATTTCAAGTTTCTTCATTTCAAGCTCCTTTCGGCAGGTTCCCGAAAAATGAATTTAAGATTTTACGTGATACGTTTATAAATAAGGCTGACTATTTAGACTAACAACACTTGGAACGATCGGCGTTGACAGCGTCGCAGCATAATTGAAGGATCGACCAATTCAGGGAGATATTGAAGCTCGTAAGGTAGGGAGATCTTAACAGAGACAGCAGCCCCATGTACGAACAGCAACTGAGCACAGAACGGGATCGTCAGCGAGCAAAGGCACTCGAAGAGTTGATGGAGGAAAATGCTCGGTGGATCGAGGAGCGCAGGGATGCAGCAAAGAGCGACATTCGCAGAATTGTGAACGCAGCTGGAAAATCCAACCCAGAACTCAGAAAGGAAAAAAGATTTATTTTTGGGAGAAAGGATTCATCGAGGATAAAGGAGACGAAACTACACTTTCTCCGAAGAAAACGATTTTGCGTAAAAATGATCTGAGGAAAAGCGGGCAAGCACTCACAAAGCAGTTAAAAGAAAAAATAAAAGCAGAAATGGAGTCAACAAAGAGCGAAATTTGCAGACAAAAGGGATGCAGCGAAGAGCGACATTTCTCCCAAGAAAGGAAAAGATATATTCTTGGGAAAAAGGATTCATCGAGGATAACGTAAAGGTGACTAAATTGACAAATGGGAATTGTACAGTGAACTTTTGCGCAGCTACATCGACACACATGGTATCCCAGAATCGATCTGATTGTCCAATTTTTGGTATTCAGATGAAAAACGTTTAATATATTTTGTACTGAAAAAAATATAGAAAAAAAAACTGTCCGGTTGGTCACCATTGGGGTTGTGGATTAGTAGAACGAACTATATAAACATAAAACAAAGATTGCGGTAATGTTACCATAAGAGGACAAGCAATCGACCAGACTCTGCCTTTGTACAGTAATTCAAGATTTAAGGTGGAATAAACAGAAAACATTTCAAGTTTCTTCATTTCAACCTCCTTTCGGCAGGTTCCCGAAAAATGAATTTAAGATTTTACGTGATACGTTTATAAATAAGGCTGACTATTTAGACTAACAACACTTGGAACGATCGGCGTTGACAGCGTCGCAGCATAATTGAAGGATCGACCAATTCAGGGAGATATTGAAGCTCGTAAGGTAGGGAGATCTTAACAGAGACAGCAGCCCCATGTACAAACAGCAACTGAGCACAGAACGAGATCGTCAGCTCGAAGAGTTGATGGAGAAAAATGCTCGGTGGAACGAGGAGCGCAGGGATGCAGCAAAGAGCGACATTCGCAGAATTGTGAACGCAGCTGGAAAATCCAACCCAGAACTCAGAAAGGAAAAGATTTATTTTTGGGAGAAAAGATTCATCGAGGATAAAGAAGACGAAACTACACTTTCTCCGAAGAAAACGATTTTGCGTAAAAATGATCTGAGGAAAAGCGGGCAAGCACTCACAAAGCAGTTAAAAGAAAAAATAAAAGCAGAAATGGGGTCAACAAAGAGCGAAATTTGCAGACAAAAGGGATGCAGCGAAGAGCGACATTTCTCCCAAGAAAGGAAAAGATATATTCTTGGTAAAAAGGATTCATCGAGGATAACGTAAAGGTGACTAAATTGACAAATGGGAATTGTACAGTGAAGTTTTGCGCAGCTACATCGACACACATGGTATCCCAGAATCGATCTGATTGTCCAATTTTTGGTATTCAGATGAAAAACGCTTAATATATTTTGTACTGAAAAAAATATAGAAAAAAATCTGTCCGGTTGGTCACCATTGGGGTTGTGGATTAGTAGAACGAACTATATAAACATAAAGCAAAGATTGGGGTAATGTTACCATAAGAGAACAAGCAATCGACCAGACTCTGCCTTTGTACAGTAATTCAAGATTTAAGGTGGAATAAACAGAAAACATTTCAAGTTTCTTCATTTCAAGCTCCTTTCGGCAGGTTCCCGAAAAATGAATTTAAGATTTTACGTGATACGTTTATAAATAAGGCTGACTATTTAGACTAACAACACTTGGAACGATCGGCGTTGACAGCGTCGCAGCATAATTGAAGGATCGACCAATTCAGGGAGATATTGAAGCTCGTAAGGTAGGGAGATCTTAACAGAGACAGCAGCCCCATGTACAAACAGCAACTGAGCACAGAACGGGATCGTCAGCTCGAAGAGTTGATGGAGAAAAATGCTGGGTGGAACGAGGAGCGCAGGGATGCAGCAAAGAGCGACATTCGCACAATTGTGAACGCAGCTGGAAAATCCAACCCAGAACTCAGAAAGTAAAAGATTTATTCTTGGGAGAAAGGATTCATCGAGGATAAAGAAGACGAAACTACACTTTCTCCGAACAAAACGATTTTGCGTAATAAAGATCTGAGGAAAAGCGGGCAAGCACTCATAAAGCAGTTAAATGAAAAAATTAAAAAATAAAAGCAGAAATGGGGTCAACAAAGAGCGACATTCGCAGACAAAAGGGATGCAGCAAAGACCGACATTCGCAGAATTGTGAACGCAGCTGGAAAATCCAACCCAGAACTCAGAAAGGAAAAAAGATTTATTTTTGGGAGAAAGGATTCATCGAGGATAAAGAAGACGAAACTACACTTTCTCCGAAGAAAACGATTTTGCGTAAAAATGATCTGAGGAAAAGCGGGCAAGCACTCACAAAGCAGTTAAAAGAAAAAATAAAAGCAGAAATGGGGTCAACAAAGAGCGAAATGTGCAGACAAAAGGGATGCAGCGAAGAGCGACATTTCTCCCAAGAAAGGAAAAGATATATTCTTGGGAAAAAGGATTCATCGAGGATAACGTAAAGGTGACTAAATGACAAATGGGAATTGTACAGTGAAGTTTTGCGCAGCTACATCGACACACATGGTATCCCAGAATCGATCTGATTGTCCAATTTTTGGTATTCAGATGAAAAACGCTTAATATATTTTGTACTGAAAAAAATATAGAAAAAAATCTGTCCGGTTGGTCACCATTGGGGTTGTGGATTAGTAGAACGAACTATATAAACATAAAGCAAAGATTGGGGTAATGTTACCATAAGAGAACAAGCAATCGACCAGACTCTGCCTTTGTACAGTAATTCAAGATTTAAGGTGTATTAAACAGAAAACATTTCAAGTTTCTTCATTTCAAGCTCCTTTCGGCAGGTTCCCGAAAAATGAATTTAAGATTTTACGTGATACGTTTATAAATAAGGCTGACTATTTAGACTAACAACACTTGGAACGATCGGCGTTGACAGCGTCGCAGCATAATTGAAGGATCGACCAATTCAGGGAGATATTGAAGCTCGTAAGGTAGGGAGATCTTAACAGAGACAGCAGCCCCATGTACAAACAGCAACTGAGCACAGAACGGGATCGTCAGCTCGAAGAGTTGATGGAGAAAAATGCTGGGTGGAACGAGGAGCGCAGGGATGCAGCAAAGAGCGACATTCGCACAATTGTGAACGCAGCTGGAAAATCCAACCCAGAACTCAGAAAGTAAAAGATTTATTCTTGGGAGAAAGGATTCATCGAGGATGAAGAAGACGAAACTACACTTTCTCCGAACAAAACGATTTTGCGTAATAAAGATCTGAGGAAAAGCGGGCAAGCACTCATAAAGCAGTTAAATGAAAAAATTAAAAAATAAAAGCAGAAATGGGGTCAACAAAGAGCGACATTCGCAGACAAAAGGGATGCAGCAAAGACCGACATTCGCAGAATTGTGAACGCAGCTGGAAAATCCAACCCAGAACTCAGAAAGGAAAAAAGATTTATTTTTGGGAGAAAGGATTCATCGAGGATAAAGAAGACGAAACTACACTTTCTCCGAAGAAAACGATTTTGCGTAAAAATGATCTGAGGAAAAGCGGGCAAGCACTCACAAAGCAGTTAAAAGAAAAAATAAAAGCAGAAATGGGGTCAACAAAGAGCGAAATGTGCAGACAAAAGGGATGCAGCGAAGAGCGACATTTCTCCCAAGAAAGGAAAAGATATATTCTTGGGAAAAAGGATTCATCGAGGATAACGTAAAGGTGACTAAATGACAAATGGGAATTGTACAGTGAAGTTTTGCGCAGCTACATCGACACACATGGTATCCCAGAATCGATCTGATTGTCCAATTTTTGGTATTCAGATGAAAAACGCTTAACATATTTTGTACTGAAAAAAATATAGAAAAAAATCTGTCCGGTTGGTCACCATTGGGGTTGTGGATTAGTAGAACGAACTATATAAACATAAAGCAAAGATTGGGGTAATGTTACCATAAGAGAACAAGCAATCGACCAGACTCTGCCTTTGTACAGTAATTCAAGATTTAAGGTGTATTAAACAGAAAACATTTCAAGTTTCTTCATTTCAAGCTCCTTTCGGCAGGTTCCCGAAAAATGAATTTAAGATTTTACGTGATACGTTTATAAATAAGGCTGACTATTTAGACTAACAACACTTGGAACGATCGGCGTTGACAGCGTCGCAGCATAATTGAAGGATCGACCAATTCAGGGAGATATTGAAGCTCGTAAGGTAGGGAGATCTTAACAGAGACAGCAGCCCCATGTACAAACAGCAACTGAGCACAGAACGGGATCGTCAGCTCGAAGAGTTGATGGAGAAAAATGCTGGGTGGAACGAGGAGCGCAGGGATGCAGCAAAGAGCGACATTCGCACAATTGTGAACGCAGCTGGAAAATCCAACCCAGAACTCAGAAAGTAAAAGATTTATTCTTGGGAGAAAGGATTCATCGAGGATAAAGAAGACGAAACTACACTTTCTCCGATCAAAACGATTTTGCGTAAAAACGATCCGACGAAAAGCGGGCAAGCACTCATAAAGCAGTTAAATGAAAAAATTAAAGCACAAATGGGGTCAACAAAGAGCGACATTCGCAGACAAAAGGGATGCAGCAAAGAGTGACATTCGCAGAGTTGTGAACGCAGCTGGACAATCTAACCCAGAACTCAGAAAGGCAAAGATATATTCTTGGGAGAAAGGATTCATCGAGGATAAAGAAGACGAAACTACACTTTCTCTGAAGAAAACGAGTTTGCGTAGGGACGATCTGAGGAATTGTGAACGCAGCTGGACAATCCAACCCGGAACTCAGAAAGGAAAAGATATATTCTTGGGAGAAAGGATTCATCGAGAATAAAGAAGACGAAACTACACTTTCTCCGAAGAAAAAGATTTTGCGTAAAGACGATCTGAGGAAAAGCGGGCAAGCACTCACAAAGCAGTTAAAAGTAAAAATAAAAGCACAAATGGGGTCAACAAAGAGCGACATTCGCAGACAAAAGGGATGCAGCAAAGAGCGACATTCGCAGAGTTGTGAACGCAGCTGGACAATCTAACCCAGAACTCAGAAAGGCAAAGATATATTCTTGGGAGAAAGGATTCATCGAGGATAAAGAAGACGAAACTGCACTTCCTCCGAAGAAAACGATTTTGCGTAAAGACGATCTGAGGAAAAGCGAGCAAGCACTCACAAAGCAGTTAAAACAAAAAATAAAAGCAGAAATGGGGTCAACAGTAAAGACTTCTGCATGATCGATATACAGGAAATCAGACATTGCACAGGCGAAAACAAAGCTCCAAAAGACCAGACCCAGGGAGCAGGGAAAAGCTCATCCGCAGAGCGGCAAAAGAAGCTTCAGAAAATAGGTTCTCCAGAAAAGATGGATTAAAGCCATTCCGAAGAGGAACTGCTACGACTTGTGGAGCAGGCTGATTTTGAAAACCCGTTGGAACGTTTTCAACAAAGTCAAGCCATAGTACGTTCTAAGGACACGGAATCTGTGGGGGAGAGAGGGCTTAAACCTCGCTATCAAGAGGGCCAAACCCAACACAGGGGGTCCGAGTCTTTCGAGTGGACCAAAAACGCAAGAAGAGGTTGCACTTAAAAAGACCGAAAGGAAATCGAAAACAAAAAAAGACGCGAATAAAGAAAAGGCGAAGTCAATCAGTAGTCAACCTGCTGCTGCAGTTACCACGGACAATAACACGCAATCAAGCTCAACGCCCAGACATAAACAGAAAACGAAACTGAATAAGGTGGGCATGTCCACTAAACCTGAGGACATTTTAGACACATTCCAGAATACAAATCTTGCTCCGGCGGAGTGTGAAAACCTGGCAGACCAAGTAATCAGCAACTGAGCTTAGAACGGGATCGCCAGCGAGCAAAGGCACTCGATGAGTTGATGGAGGAAAATGCTCGGTGGAACGAGGAGCGCAGGGATGCAGCAAAGAGCGACATTCGCAGAATTATGAACGCAGCTGGACAATCCAATCCAGAACTCAGAAAGGAAAAGATATATTCTTGGGAGAACGGGTTCATCGAGGATGAAGAAGACGAAACTACACTTTCTTCAAAGAAAATGATTTTGCGTAAAGACGATCTGAGGAAAAGCGGGCAAGCACTCACAAAGCAGTTAAAAGAAAAAGTAAAAGCAGAAATGGGGTCAAAAAAGAGCGACATTCGCAGACAAAAGGGCTGCAGCAAAGAGCGACTTTTCTCCCAAGAAAGGAAAAGATATATTCTTGGGAGAAAGGATTCATCGAGGATAGAGAAGACGAAACTACACTTTCTCCGAAGAAAACGATTTTGCGTAAAGACGATCTGAGGAATTGTGAACGCAGCTGGACAATCCAACCCAGAACCCAGAACTCAGAAAGGAAAAGATATATATTCTTGGGAGAAAGTATTCATCGAGGATAAAGAAGACGAAACTACACTTTCTCCGAAGAAAAAGATTTTGCGTAAAGATGATCTGAGGAAAAGCGGGCAAGCACTCACAAAAGCAGTTAAAAGAAAAAATTAAAGCAGAAATGGGGTCAACAAAGAGCGACATTCGCAGACAAAAGGGATGCAGCAAAGAGCGACATTCGCAGAATTGTGAACGCAGCTGGACAATCTAACCCAGAACTCAGAAAGGCAAAGATATATTCTTGGGAGAAAGGATTCATCGAGGATAAAGAAGACGAAACTACACTTCCTCCGAACAAAACGATTTTGCGTAAAGACGATCTGAGGAAAAGCGGGCAAGCACTCACAAAGCAGTTAAAAGAAAAAATTAAAAAATAAAAGCAGAAATGGGGTCAACAAAGAGCGACATTCGCAGAACAAAGGGATGCAGCAAAGAGCGACATTTCTCCCAAGAAAGGAAAAGATATATTCTTGGGAGAAAGGATTCATCGAGGATAACGAAGACGAAACTACACTTTCTCTGAAGAAAACGAGTTTGCGTAGGGACGATCTGAGGAATTGTGAACGCAGCTGGACAATCCAACCCAGAACTCAGAAAGGAAAAGATAGATTTTTGGGAGAAAGGATTCATCGAGGATAAAGAAGACGAAACTTCAGTCTCTCCGAAGAAAACGATTTTGCGTAAAGACGATCTGAGTAAAAGCGGGCAAGCACTCACAAAGCAGTTAAAAGAAAAAAAGCAGAAATGGGGTCAACAGTAAAGACTTCTGCAGGATCGATATACAGGAAATCAGACATTGCACAGGCAAAAGCTTGAAAAGACCAGACCCAGGGAGCAGGGAAAAACCCATCCGCAGAGCCGCAAAAGAAGCTTCAGAAAATAGGTTCTCCAGAAAAGCTGAAGGAAAGCAATTCCGAAGAGGAACTGCTACGACAGGTGGAGCAGGCTGATTTTGAAAACCCGTTGGACCGTTTTCATAAAAGTCAAGCCATAGTACGTTCTAAGGACACGGAATCTGGGAGGAGGGAGAGAGAAGGCTTAAAACTCGCTAACATGAGGGCCAAACCCAACACAGGGGGTCCGAGTTTGTCGAGTGGACCAAAAACGCAAGAAGAGGTAGCACATAAAAAGACAGAAAAGAAATCGAAAACCAAAAAAGACGCAAATAAAGAAAAGGCGAACTCAATCAGTAGTCAACCTGCTGCTGCAGTTACCACAGACAATAACACGCAATCAAGCTCAACGCCCAGAAGTAAACAGAAAACGAAACTGAAAAAGGTGGACATGTCCACTAAACCTGAGGACATTTTAGACACATTCCAGAATAGAAATCTTGCTCCGGCGGAGTGTAAAAACCTGGCAGACCAAGTAATCAGGAGGGATGTACAGAAAGTGGCGGATGAGCTAAGAGGGAAGAATAAGTCAGTGGGCGAAAGAGACGACCAATTCGAACCACCACAGGTGGCATCAGATGACTCCAGCGTGGTAGAAACTGACGTTCGAAGAAGCTCACGGCAAAACAAGAGCAAAGAACTGCAACGCTTTGGGGATCCAGTCAAACCGTCCATCAAGGAAATTTCAGAAGAAGATTTATCAGGGGAAGTACTCTTAAAAGCGACCTTACAAGAGTACAGAAGACGATTGACCGAGTAAAAGACATGGAATGACAGACCTATAGAGTCGAAATTGGGGCTTCTCAAGAGACATCTCTTCAACAAAAAAATTCGAATATGTCACTCTGGACAAAGCAGTAGACTAGAATCCTAGCTGGAGGATAGAACTAGATGAAAACTGAAAGAAGAGATAATTATGAAATCTGACAATTACTGAACTTTTTAGAAACTGAGTTAAAAAAACTCTTGTTATTAAAAATTATTTATATATCAGAAAAAATTTCGCTCGAGAGGGTATTTGATACTGCTACTGCGACAGCAGTAAGATGATGTAATCATAACCTTCAGTGAGTATTTTTTTTTATATTATTAAAATTGTCCAAGGTCATGATATCTAAGACTCTTCGTTCACAGCTGAGAGTTCAGTGTGTGTTAGGCGTAACTCGTGTCTCACCAGCTAAAAGAAAGAGAAAACTATTAATTCAAATGACCAGAAAATACATTCTTCGAATTATCATTTAGTTTTCCAACAAGATATCTCGTAGGATATCACAGGTATATCACTCGACTTAGTCGGATAAATTTTTCGGTAACTATTGTTACGTGCAAATTAAGAAAAATAAATTCACTGAAAACAATATTCTCCCACTTTCAGTAGTCAAAACAAATGCATGATATGAAAAAAATTTTCAAAAACAAGATTAGGCTCTCATTACAGACATTCTGTTAAGTATTTTACTAAAAATTTTAACTTATTATTTATTCAAAATTTCTAGACTAAATAATGACAGTCGATGTAACTCTGTTTCACAAAAAGTTTTAGGGGATCAAAAAATACTAAACTGTACGATACTTTGACGAAAAGTAGACGCTCTTACACTTATAACTAATAGACATGGTAGCATACCTGAGCTAAACAAAGCTAAGTAAATCCGAACTTAACATACGTCATCCAAACTCAACTCAACTCAACTGATTATACTGAATTAAACGTGAGCCCTGAATATTCCCATTGTCCTTTAACGTGTATGGAGTAGCATTAGAGTTTTTGAAAATGATATGTTTTGAAAAAGGAAAAATAGTTTTGGTTTTTTTGGAAATCAATCCCAATTGATATACTTTTTTCTGATATAATTTTCAAAGTGGTTCATTTAGCATGTTGAACGTATTAGTTAGAAGTCATGTCATGCGTCTAATCAATTTCTGGGCCCGATTAAAATCCGCTTATACATTGGTAGCACAAAAAGAAATGTTGCGATACTTACCCGAAACGGGCATTTGGCGTTTTTTAAACCCTCATAGCTTTGAAAGTTTTTATACAACTGAAACTTTCTCTTAAAGTTGAGCTCAAGGCGTTATTAGTTTTCAGATGAAAAAAAATTGTCTGAAAAGGGCTGTTTACAAAATCGAAAGTGTTCTGGATAAAAAAAAAGCTGACAACACTTATTCCGTTATTACTCGAAAGTCGAAACAAAAAAGGTAATTAAACAATCATATCACTAGAACTTTCTCCGCAAAAAATACTTAGAAAATGGAACACAGAAGTTTTGCCCAGAAAATAAGCCTGCGTACGAGATGCTATTAACATGCAGACTATTTTGAAGAACTATGGTAACTATAATCGAGAGAGGTGTGCAAATGTGGCTGTAATTTTAAGGAATTTTCAATCAGAAGAAAGTTCAAGAAAATTAATTTGTCTCATTTCCTTCTTTTGGATTATTATATAATTTCTTCAATGTTACCAAATAAATATTTTTAATGACGTCAACTTCCTCATAATTCCTAGCAACTTGTCTCAACTCATAATCAGCCAATCCCATTTAGAAAATTGACTTTAAAAGTTTAAGGAATTTATTTTTTAATTCTAAACTTTGAGCAGAAATTTTTTGATTCAATGAAAATTTTGATTGCCAAAATGTCTCTGCAAAATAAAGCATTCATCTTTTCCGGAGGAAAAATTTATTTCAGGGCTTGAATAAATTTTTCTCGGCTTATCTTTGCTGTAGATTTGATCTGATCGCTCGCTTATTTCGCTCGAAAATAATTTTTCATCCGGTTTTCCTCAAAACTGGGAAAACTTTTTGAAAATTTCTGATGTAACTCGAATCTCAACTGAAAAATCTTTAATATTGTATATTACTTGATTCATTCCGATGAATATGTGTTGCAAATGATTTTGTGTGGATGGGATAACCCCACCAGTACTGGCTCAAAACTGTAGGGTTAAAATCTAATAGTAAACTAATAAGTATCGTAGATGGACAGATTACGAGTAGAGTTGATAGATACTTTGTACTGAATGATTAGACGTGTGCAAACACCCTGAATAAAGGTGTAGAATAGATAGAGGTATGGAATAAGCACTCAGTTTCGAATAGCACTGTATCTTCTTAAGGATGTCGCGCAACTGGATAAACACACACAACAGCACCACGCTGTGATCGGTTAGATATTATGGCCTTGAGAGAGGACATAAAACATATTGAATACATAAGCACATATGCATGAAGAACGTAGTAAACACACGCAAATTATGCGAAGTACCGAAGGCCGCATCATGAAATTCCTCGCGGGAGGAGAAAATTTTATCCTTAAGATAAGGATTAAGTTTGGCACAGAGGTTAACGAAAAGAACTACAGGGCCAGCCTGTATTGAGAGTAAACTGTGAACCGAAGTGATGCACAAGAGTGGCGAAAAGTTTTTTTAATAGAATTTAAGAGAATGAAGATGAATAAGCTTGATGAATAAGCTCGATGTGCTTGTGGGGAGAAGTGAGATTGACCAACGGTATGACTGCCGAAGTCGATTGTTCGAAGGCCTGTTCCTCTACTGGTT